GTTACTGTACATGGTGGATCATATTGAACTGCATGAAAATGGAAGTGTAACTACTGTTCAATGCGGTCCGTAAAATTTCTATGCAAATTTGAACCGCATGCGGTTCATCCTTTATTTTTATTTTTTAAATACGGAACCACTTTTTTTTTTAATATGAAACATGAATGGAGAAACAAAAGTGAATCTCCCTCTCCTACGTGTGAACCGTCATTAATCTGCCCTTCCCATTCACAACCATAACCACGACAATGTCACTTGTCCATTATTTTATTTTCTCACTTCACATTTTTCCCTCTCTTGTCCTTTCTGCCTACTGTCCATGACAAATACCTTTTCTTAAAATATTATTGTTTTGCATTATGTCTCTGTTTTAAACCCATTAAAGAAACAGGAAAAAAATGTAGTTAAAGTAGGACTACGACGACAGAATACAAACAAATAAAATAAACCAAAAATTCGATCTAGTGGTAATCAATTTAGAACCAAGAGGTAAACTCGTTCTTTCTGAATTCGAACATTTTGGGCCACTTGGTTTTTTAGGTTTCACCGGATGTTTTATTTATGGATTTACGGAAAATTTGTGTCAAATTTCTTCAGATTAGTCGGATTGCTACAACACTAGAAGGTATTTTTTTAGCAAAAAGACAAAAAAAACTAGAACGTATTTTAAAGTTAAATACCACAACACTATATATTGAATTGCATTACAAGTATGGTATGGAGATGCATACACTTGGAGAGCATGCGTGACGACTGACATATGAACATGTGAACATATAAGATCCAAAACTTTCAATATTTTATAATTCAATTAAAATAGAAACTTTATTAGCTTCTTCAGGGGTCTGTCCACAAAATCCAAATATAGCACCAACTGAACTATTATTCTTTTAGAAATCTTAATGTTTAACTATTAAATTGTTCTTCTGAAAGATTCTCTTTTTCCTTCAAAACAGATCCCAACAACCCAATATACAGTATATTTATTTAGTCGAAAACCAAAAAAAAATAAAAATTGTTTTGGTTGATTTTAAAACCTTCTGTTTTGCCTGGAATTCATGTATACATATCAAAACACTTGGACACATATCAGATTCGGCTAATGTCACGGCCAAAGACAAAAGTGGTGAACCAGTTGATGGCGACATAGAAGCGGTTTCTCCAGCTGATGACTCGAGTCAGATACGCCGATCTCCATATGAACCAGCTCACGAAACCCGTCATTGATATTCCTTTTGCGTCCTGCACAAGTAATCTCCTTCAATCACATGTTTATGAGTGAAGTTTCAAAGATATATTGAGCCAGCTTCGTTACCTTGCTCTCGCGGAGGTCAACTAGGGCTTTGTATCTACCGATTGTAGCCATGCTTCCCATGTGCTTATACACAAAGGGAACTCCAAGTTCTATCTCCTTTGCGCTGTTGGCTCGTCCTCCATGGGCTTTCCCGATCTCATTTAGTAGATTCGACAAGTATTTGCCTTCTCTCTCAGCTACCTTAATTGATCAGAGACGTAGAAGAAAATGTATAAGAAAAGATGAGAGGTTAAAAGATTATGAAATTTCTATCTATCTATAGAGTTTGTATACCTGAGCAAGAGCAGGAAGGGTTGGTTTTCCGGTGGTCTCCAGATATCCGCTGCAGTCACCAATGGCAAACACGTCTTGTACAGAAGGTACGCGCATCCATTCGTCAATGCCAATCCTATAGAATTAAACATCCAAAGGTCGATGAGCCACTGTGAAAGATTTTAGCAAAGAAGGGATAAATGGTTGGTGAACTAACCTTCCACCAGGACCTTTTGGAAGATCAAGAGACCTAACGAAAGGAGAAGGACCGACACCAGTGGACCACACTAAGAGTCCATAGGGAACTTCAGTGCCATCGTCAAGTATTAGCTTCTGAGGCTTCACATCTTTCACAATCCCACGCACAAACCGCACTCCAGACTAAGTAAAACCAGTAGTATTTAAGAAGAAACGCTCCAGAGAAGTGAGCACAAATATTTTCTTGGTCTAACTTCTAAATGAGCTCACCTTGTTCAACTGCTTGATAGCATAACGTCTGAGACGATCATCGAACGATGAAAGTATATCCTTGGCCTGTAAAGGACCCAGCGCAGAAACAATTGTAAATCGGTATAACACACATAAAAAGGAATTCAAAGAGCAGCTTCTTAACACAAACTTCTATCAAAGTAACGTGAATGTCGTCCTTCACATGGGCATATCGCTGACGAACATCTTTGATAATAAAGTCACTCAGTTCACCGCTAAACTCAACCCCAGTTGGTCCACCTCCAACCACAACGCAATGTAACAGCCTCTTTTTCTCCTCTTTCGATATGCCTAATAAAAAAGCAATTGTTCATAAGACTTTTTATGTCCTAATTCTGATTCTTCAGGGGATGAATTGTGTTTAGCTTACCAGGAGTATCAGAGAGCATGAGGTTTAAAAGAAGCCTCCTGCGAATCTCCTGAGCATGGTGAACCTCTCGTAGAAAGATCGCATTCTCTATGACCCCCTGAATTCCAAACGTTGACGCCTCTGCACCGCAAGCTACCACAAGCTTGTCGTAAGCGATCTTGAACTTCCATGGCTTTAATGTGTCCAAACCATCAGTAAGAGTCTCACAGTGAATCTATTACCAAGAACAAAGACATGTACCAACAAACGGATTAAAACCCCATAAACTTCACCAAAACAAATCTAAACCTCACTTGTTACCATATATAGAAACTCCATCACAAATAAAACCAGAGCTTCACGAGACTGTGAAACTCCAAAATCTAATTATTCATTTAATAAAGCAAATTCCTTTTTGATCTGAGAGGGACACAGAATCTGGAATTGAAAACCCAATCTCAGAAACGGAGTAGAGAGAGAGTTGAAGCCGTAGAAGTACCTCGTGGGTCTCGGCATCGAGTCGAGAGCAATTGGCGAGGAAGAAGTAAGAGCCAGGTTCTCGTGAAATCGCGGGTTGAATACTAGAGATAGGCTCAGCAACAGACCTGAATTCGAGAGTACCAACGCAAGTGGAAGCAAGGAGAGGAGTGAAGACCATGTGGTTTCTAGGGGAAACGCAAACGACGTCGTAGATGCTCGTATCGATCCCTTTCATCAATCGACAACCAGCCCAACCCGACCCGAGAACCACCACTCTCGGCTTCTCTCCTTCTCTCGTCGGTCCTAAACCTTCGTATTGATTCCGATCTACACCATTTGTAGCCGTGGATTGAATCTGAGTCTCTTTCTGCTGCTGATGCAGAGTGGTGCAGAAACGGGAGGAGAGAGTGAATGATCCTGCAGGGTTTCTAAATCCGGTCACCACCGAAGATCTGCTCCGTGCGAGGTTTTTGATCAAGAACATC